TTTGTGATTTCAAATAAACCTGTTGGACTATAACCTAGTGTCGTGTGATTTCTGATTTTGTCCATCCCAGTCCAATACTGGGACTTCCACATCATTGAATGGTGGAACAGGACTGAGTGGCCTACTTCTGTTCCCATAATTTCCCATCAACTTCCCCCACCCTTAATTGTTGAGATGCCTTCAGTTCCCCATAAGTATTAAATTAAGACCCGAACATGAACGTGACCTTTATCAGTTTCTTTTCCCATCACAATTGATCTGTTCAACCTTGCCAACTGAGCACCGCATAAAAGAAAATTAGAGTCCCATGTGTAATATTCAGCGAACACAACACAAGGCTCAACTGTGGTGCTCCTGTAGGTCAGTACTTTGCCTGTTATGAAGAGGCTTTTGACAAAAGCCACAGTTAAAATGCTGGAGGATTGCTAGTGCCTATGGAAACTGGGGTCAGCATTTTTTTTGTTTTTTGAGATTTTCTCGGCTGCTTTCTGATTTTTGGAATGTATCTTTTGGCTTTTAAAGGCTCTCATTTTCATTCTCTCAAACTCATTTAATGGGTGAGGTCGACATGTAACAATATCTTGCGCAGAAGCAGAATTCATCAATATCTTCTTCAATTATCAATTCTTGATTAAATTCAAAGCCACAACGCCCACCTCACTTTCTTCTATGTAAATTGACATAGACAACGGGCATACATGAACAAAATTCTTTCAAAATTACAGACTCAATTCTGCACAAAAACCAATCATCTTAAACAAACCTTCCATAGATAAAGGAACTTACAACTAATATGTTTCCATTGCATATACCACCAACCTGTTAGTTGTTACATTCCCTTGACTGTTTTAATTGTTAGGTTCATGTTAATTTCTTCACTCTAGATACCTGGCCTAGCCTGTCTAGTTGTAAAATATATTGTAATTTGACTTTAACCTTTCATGAGTATAATGCCCCAGATTTTGCAGTCAAGAGTAGTACTACTTACACCGTTACACTGTCTATTTTAGACTTTCTATATGTTTTTGCTCTGTTTTTTGCATAGATTAGACAACCAAAGCAGTGCATTGCCCTGTAAGGGAAACCTTAATCCATTTGAACAGTCTATATAACTGTATCTCAGCCAGTTAGAGTTAAGGATTTGTGCTGATACTTGCAGAATCTGAACCAGGAGGCGCAAGTTTAAATAGTTAATTCAATGTCAGATCATGTGTAAAGTGATACCAAGATGGTAGGGAAAGAGAAGTGCAGAATTGTTTGATTTTTTTTTTAATTTAAAAGCGTTATGATCCAGGCTTATGTCAAATGAGATCCCAGAATGAAGCCTGGCTTGATAGATCCTATATTTCTGTAGTTGGTTACTCGCTGAAATGTATGTCCTTTGACAACAAGACAAAATAACGTGCAAAAAGAAACAAAGCTATATGTAAAAAGACCGTTAAATCTTAAAACAAACACATAGACAAGATTTCCACTTGTTTCCAAATATTGTCCATTTCAGACACTGAAATATCACATTCATCTTTGCTTTTTAAATCTTTCTTCACTGACATTTCTAGTTTCTCTCCCTTGGGGTTGCTGAGATATCTTTAAATGATTCCCTTGAATCTGTTAGCACAAACTTTTCTTAATGGAGGATTTCTATCCAAACTCTCCTGGCTTTGAAGCTTTACAGGTTATAAATCATTTATGATGAAGTGACTGGCTCCCCTGAACTGAACTGGAAAATTTCTTGGTTTTCCTTCTTGGAGAAACTAGTCTACATTCAGAACTAAAATGAGTTCTTCTGACTAAAACTTTGAACTTTCTATTCTGAAGTCAAATCTGAATTAATTGTTTTAATATGTTTATCTGATTTTTTTCCAGAAAAAACAGATAAACAATCTAAACATTTTATCAATTTAACACCACAGGGGTTCTCCCAGGCTTTGACTGCAAATCTGTGCCGCTTAGAAATAATGTATGTAAGTCTGTCCAAATGACTCTGATGTTTTGCAAAAAAATTGCCTTCAAAATCCGACTAGAATCCATTTGCCTCTATTTTAAAACCAAAACCCAAAGAATTTTAAAAATACATATTTGTACAGGTATGCATTGTACATATTTTGCAGTATTTTCTAAAATTTTCAATAATTAAAAGCTAGAGGACTGCAATTCCAAATTTGTTGATTTTCAGTATTGGATAAGTTGACCAATAATTAGGACTTACAAAATTACTTTCACCTGGAATGACTAATCTTTAAATATTTTTGGAAAGTTTAGGGTATCAATCATGTAAATCCTGCAGCTTTTCCTTTTGTATTTTGACCTGGTGTGTCTTAGTCTACTATAACAAAGCTTCTGGAGGAAGGAGGCAAGCCTTAACGGTCTCTTCCTGATTTATTTATTAACTACGTATGTGCATTTGTCAAAAGCTGCTGTGTCTTTCTCTAGGTGGCAAGCACTGATAACTCCTATTCGTAATTACAAAATCTAGGCCAATGTCTATTGGTTAATCAGTTTCAGCATAGGGAACAAGTATTTGTTGCAGTTGTATTTGTGAATTGCATGGGAAAATGTTCTGACACTGAAATACATCCAAGTTTTTTTTTAAAAAATGAGTTTCAAATCCTAGCCTATATAAAAACTGTGCAATTATTTAATGTTAAATTATAAATCTGAATTGTTGAAACATATCTACCAAATTTTATAAACTTTTCGTAGATGTCATTGCATGCCTTTTTTATGGGTTAAAAACTTTTGGAAGATGCAAAGAGCATTTAGAACTCCAGCTGTTAACAATAAAATGACTAGCATTTGCAGATTGTCACAGCCTGGTGATCTTTAGTTCAAGGATGTAACATGTTAATCTTGTATTGTTAAAATAAGTGTTTCAGTTATCATTGTAATAATAGGCAACATCACAAGTTTTAAGCTTGGAAATGCAGAATTGAAAGCCTTTTTTTAAAAGCTGTTTTCAAAAAAAGGAATTTACTTTGTGCTTTTAAGTTGTTATTTATATAAAGGCTTTGAAAGTAGCTAAAAGTAATTCTCAGATTATGAACTCAGTTTTTAGATGTTTTTAAACATTTTAATTTCAACAGTACTGATGGCACCGGAAAGCAGGTCATCAAATACCACCCAGAGGAGATGTCTGAAACAGCTGTGACATATGGCTGAGATGTAGAACTGATCTTTGTGCCACAATATGCTGAATATAATTTAGCCTTGATCGTTTATTTGCATTTTTAGTTTTTGTTCTCTGTCTCTATAGCAGTAGTTTGATGTAAAGCAATTATTATAAAGTCCTAACTCAGAAAATTTATCTCAATATTGCTTAGCCAAGTGAGAATTTTATAGGATATTCAAATTATTGGATAATGTCATATAGACTGATGTCTGATAGCAACTGATTTGAGGTTGCCCAGTCTCTTGTCTCTAGTAGTTAAGTGCTTTAAAAAAATCTCTAGTCTTGGTCTGAATCAGGCCTAACCTTAAGAACTGAAACGAAAATATGAAACTCCTACTTTTGGTACTTTCAAATAAGAATGATGCAATGGCAATAGTAAGTTTCCTTTGGATCCAATTTGAAAATGGGTTTTAAAAAAAAATTCCTAACTTCTGTTCTGACAGTTGTGATTAACATGTTCTATTGTAATCACAACCTGACACTTGAGTGATTGAAACATTTGGTACTTACGTGCTGCCTTGGTACTGGATGAAAGTTTTTAATAGATTTTTGCAAAAATGATTTTTTGCACACCAGGATTGACCACTGAAGTGCTTTCCTCTCCCTGTTGTGACCAGTCCAGAGGCCGTTACTATCCATATAAATTCCATACTGATGAACCTTCCAAGGTTTGAGTATTATATTGTTATGCCATGATTTATTTGAATGTAACCAAATTATTCTATATTAAGATTGCCAAATTTAAAAGTGAAGCTTGAGATTTGTAAGCTTTTTTGACATGACTTAGCATCTGTCCTGCTTAACTGTTTATAAATAGATCTATCAAGTTTGTTACCACCTATAATTTCAGCATCTATAAGACCATTTATTTTCTCTTTTTATTCAATTGTTGAGATACAGTCAGTTTGCCAGAAGTATTAAAACAAGACCCAAAGTGAGTGATCTTTATTATTTACTGTTGCCATCACAATTGGTCTGTTTGTCCTATTAAATCTGCACCACAAAAGAAAACTGAAGTCCAATGTGTAGTATACAGTGAACACAACACTGGGTTCAGTTGTGGTGCCCCTCTAGGTCAGTACTTTATCTCCTATGGAGAGTCTGTTGACTAAAATCGCTAATTGGAAAACTCTGGGGGGCTGCTAGTACCTATATAATCTAGGGTCAGAATATTTTTTTCTTGAGACTTTCTCAGGCTACTTTCTGATTTTTAGGGCATACTATTTGAAAAAGGAGCCTTTAAAAACTACTCTCAAACTTATTTAATAGCTGAGGCTATCATGTCATAATAATATCACTGGTATTTGGACTTGCACAGAAATACAATTCATCAATATCTTCAATTATCAACTCTTGATTAACACAGACACAACACAAACATTAATTTCTGTAATATCACAATAAAATGATATAGACAGCAAACATAAGTTAACAACAAAATTCTTTTCAAAATTACAGACACAATTCTGCACACAAAAAGCTATTATCCTAAATGCACCTTCCATAGACAAAAGGACATTACAGCTAAGTTGTTAACACTAACCTCGTAGTTATTGCTTTCCCTTGATTATTTTAATTCTTTGATTCAATTTAATTTCTTCTCTAGATGTAAGCTTTTAAGAAACTAGCATTTGAACCCAAGTCCTTTAGTCTGTCTAGGTCTAAAATAAAATGTAATTTGACTTTAACCTTTCATGCATTTAATGGCCCAGATTTTGCAATCGGAAGAGCAGAGCCACTTATACACTTATGTTGCCTATCTTAGACTTTCTGTACATTTTTGCTGTTGTCCATTTAATGAACACTAATTTCATTTTCTGTTTTGTTTCAGGTACTCTCTGCGCTTGATATACTCCAACCTCCACACATTGACTACTTTGAGGAAATGTATCCTACCAGTCAAATTTAATATTTGCTAAATTGCTGTAAGTTTTTTTAGATGTTTGTCATTAATATAGTTTGGATTTTATTGGAAAACCTTTCTTGAAAACTAAATAGGTTATCTATTTGTGAACCTTAATATTGCAAAAAGTTTTTCTGATCACTTGCTGATGACTTGTATTGTTTCATAATTATTACAAACAGTGAGAAGAAGCCAAAAGACTTTTGACAAACTAACAATTTATACTTGTGCTGTTTTTTGGTCGGGCAGGGTATCTGGTATATTTTTAACTTTTAACATCCATTCCAATTTGGGAGAGAAGGCTTCGATCACAAAACATGTGGATTAGAACTGCTCAACTCAAGAAAGAGAATTTCTCCCTGGATACGGGTACTTAATATATTTACTCTGGAGCTTAACAAGTACACCTGACCCCTCCGTGTGTACTTTTTCTTCAGATTATCATGGGTGTGTTTTCCCATGTTGATTTTTGCGTGGTGCTGTAACACTTCAATGATTTAACCACTTAAATTTCCACAGTTAAATGGCAGAGTACAAATATATGATCAGCATTGTTTAAAGTAAGTTGAGATCATTCCCTACCAGAATAAATTGTGGAAGATTATAAAAATTAAACTTTGAGAAATGTGAGATGTAAAAGTCAGCTGCAAAACAGATGGCAATTTAAAATGCCAAAGTGCATGATCAGTGAGTTTACGGTATACGTTGATTCTTTTAAAATGGAGTGAAAATGTATGTAACGGTTATAATTAATATCAATGTATTGGCTATATTTCAAGCAATGTCAGTGTGGCAGTCATGCTGCTTATAAATACTTGTGAAGAATGTTTCGGTTCCCTCCCCATTCCGCCCTCTCTGATTACTGAAAATAAAATCATATTCTACAGCACTTTTTTTAAAGGAGGTAGTTGCTCATCTTGTAGTGTAGTCTGTGTAGGGCCAAAACAAACAGTAGAAAGGACAGTCAAAATGAAAAAAGGCAAATACATCAACTGTTAGGGCTCTTGTGGCACTGTGTGATAGTATCCCTACCTCTGGGCCAGAAGGCCTGGGTTCAAGACCAACCTGCTTCAAAATTGGCTGATTTAAAAAAATCTATAAATTGTTGTTTTCCATCAGTATCACTCTGCTGTTGGCAAAGCAGGGAATTTAAATTTATTATGAATATGGAATCATGAAGAGCGCTTATAGTATGCATTGCCTGAACCAAACATCAATTGTGAACCTGTTCCACTCTGCCGAGTGTCAACTGTACCAGCAAAATTGTCAAACAAAATCACAATGAATTTATTTGCAGTCAAAATCCCAAAATGTCAATGCATTCCAGTGTACATGGCAATGGCAAATTAGTCATGTGTTCACTTATCATTATGTAATTTATTATAACAGAGCAAACTTTATTTAAGAGACTTGCAAGTGAAGACCTGAAGTTGGAAACAGGACTTTTTATATATACAAATGCAGCCGTTAACACAGTTTATCCACTCAGCAGTGTTGCATTTCTTGTGATAAAAAGTAATCTAGTTCTATTTACTCACCCAGTTCCCATTCTTTTTATCACCTCTACTTTCATCTACCTATTCAATCTAGTCTTAAATCAAAAGGAAAAACTGAAACACTTGGATGTTTAAGACGGCACTTTCTTGGAAAATCCAACATCATGTGAACTGACATGAAGTAAAACACACTGTCTGAAGCTTACACCTTCCAGAACCAGAGCCAGTTCTGATGAAGTCACTGGACTCAAAGTTGACACTTTCTCCCCACAGATGCTGCCAGATCTGCTGAGTTTCTCTAGCAATTTGTTTTTGTATGGTTTATCAACATTTGACACCTTTTTACATTGAAAATATTCATCATGCTGTGCCTATGTGAATAACAGATACTGCAACTGTTATGATCATTAAAATGTGTGCTTATGAATCACATTTTAAGATGTAACTTAACTTGCTGAGTTACTAATAGGTAGTCAAAACTATTTGTGCTATTTAGAATCGAGCAAGGTTGAAGAGCAGAAGGTAATGGAAGTATTGTTGCAGACCAGGAAATCTGGAATGTGGAGAGGAAATAAGCACTGAAGAAAGGTGGGAATTTAAATCAGCAGTGTTAATGCAATTATGTGGGAAGAGAAATGTTGGGATTCAGTACCAGGGATGACAAATGCAACTGGAAGGTAGTTAAAAATTATAGAAGTGCAATGAAGTAAAGCACATCAATGAGGGAAAATAGCAGAGGCATTTTCGGGTCTAGGGTCTTGTGTACAGAGCTCTTAAGTTTGAAGAGGAAGGCTAAAACATGCTTCTTTGTGTAGCAGTAGGAGAGCACATCTGCTATTCACTTTGTTGTGTCCTTTACTTCAACCTTTTTTTATTTTTTAATGGGATATCTGTCACTAGAAGGCTTATGTTTGTTGCCCATCCTTGTACTTACTGCCCCCCTCCCCAACGTTTCCATGCTGTATGACTCAGTGGTGGACATGCTACCTTTTTGAATTGTTGTTAAATCATTGAATCCTTTAAGGTTGAAAATTTTGGAAACCAGAATTTTAATTTCAGATGATTAAGGTACCTGGGGTAGGTACAGTGAACAAAATCTGCACTAAGTGGTGCTGTACATATTTTTACATTTATTTTCTGAATGCTTAAAATGTTCTAAAGAAGTAGTCCTGTGTGAGCAAAGTACTGCATTTGACTGTTTTATTCATGGGCTGCACAGAACAAATATCTTTCTCTTGAGTACTTTGAACTGAACAAAAGCCAACAAAATGCTGAGCATTGTAGGCTCAGTCCCTTCAGATCACAACTGGAGAAACTGTTAAGCCTGAAATATAACAATAGCTGTATGATATTGCTGCAGAATTCTTGAAAAGAACTTGGCCCCTGTGATTGTGTCTAGCTGACTGAGTTCTACAATAATAAAACAAAGAACTGTGGATGCTGGAGATCTGAAACAAAAACAAATAGCTGGTGAAACTCGGGAGGAAGCATCCGTGGGAAGAAAGCAGATAAAATGTTTTGAGTCCGGTTTCGAGTCTGAAGAGTCAGTGGACTTGAAATGTTAATTCTCCATTCTTCCCACAGGTATTGCCAGACCTGATTTTTGCCAGCGATTTTTGTTTTTGACTCCATTTGTTGCAAGAATCATAAGCTCGGACTCCTGAAGTTGTGTGCATAGCAAAAATTATCATTCCAAAAGTTAAAAGATGTCACGTTGGCAGCCAGCTATCTATATATTTCTCTACTTTGTGTGCTTTAAGATCTTTGTCTTATCCTGCGATGCATATCCGTAGACGTACAGACCATCCTTAATGTTGACCGAGTTGATTTTTGTGAGGAACGCAGCACATGATCAGGTATTGGCACTCATACATACACTGAAAATGGTTTCCAAAAGAACCTGAACACAGATGTAGTGCTACTGGAATTGCTGGAGAGAATCTGCAGGTCTGGCAGCATCTCTGGCAACAAACAGTTAACAATTCAAGTTCGGTGACTTCTTCAGAATTATTGGTAGTTAGGAAAATCTGGTATTTATGCCAAAGGTGAAGGCGTGCACTAGCGAGGGGAAAGATGAGCTGCTAGGAGGAGACAGCCCAGAGAGAGAAAGATGAAAAGGATAGGTAAACTAAGAGATAATGGATAGCAGGCTAGAATAGAAGAAAAGCTGAGTAAGAGATAGTAAGAGCTAAGAATGAGAAACTGGGTTAGCTGTACTGAATGCAACCCGTGTAATGTGCTTGGAGTACCTGGGTGACTGTGCTCAAAGCAACCCTGTGATAACAGGACCAAGTGAGCTACTTGACCTCTCAGCTGTCAATGATTGAAAATTGAGCCACCTTCAGCTGTCCAGAATGTTTTCAACCCTAACCAGGAGAAATGTCAAAAGGTACTTGAGTTCATTTTGGATTTGGGAGAAAGGGCATGGATAAAACTGCTTCATCATGCCTCATTGCTAACCTCATCATTGTTCAACAAATATACACATCAACTGCCAGCAGCCGTGTCTTGTAAGGTCATTCATGCTGGTGACATCTGTTGTGGCTCCCAAGCTCCATTTTTCTGTACCCTGGACCAGATCCTCGATGAATATTTTCAACGTTGACAGATTACTGCAGTACATGGTATCTCATATGCCACTGCTTTTAGAGGTGTTCAATGTAGTCCACCTCTGCAACACCAACAACAAAAAAAAAATTGCACATCTACATGGATGGACAGAGAATAAAGAATGATTTCAACTCAAAGTACTTAAAAGTGATGCTGGATAGGACTTTGTCCTTCTGAGAACATATGAGGGAAAAAAGGTCAAAACCATAAACAACTTAATAACTAAACTTGCTGGATCTATATGGGATGCTGAATTACACCAAACCAGACCTCAGCTTTTGCTCTATTCTGCTCTGCAGCAGCATACTGTGCACCTGACTGACATTGGTTATTACTCATGTCTTGTTGATACTTAGTTGAATATAACAATGTGCATCATAACTAGAATCCTCCACTCAGCACCTCCCCAGCTTTCTGTTCTTGTAAACAGTAAGCTCCCTACATCCTCTGACTGACAAAAACCCATGAGCTGAAACCGTCTGTGCTGCACTTCCCATGCCACTAGGTAATGACCTGTTTAATCCATCTACTGCACTCCTTCCATCTCAACACCCCATTGTAAAACAAGCTGCCAAACTCAATGTGACAAATACCGTCAGTCAAATGGTATGCTTTGAACCACCATGCCTGGAGTGGCACTTTTTAAAAATCTATTCAGGACAAGTTAGGGTCCCTCCACAGCCGACCTCCGTACGAACTCCTTAGGTACTTGTGAAGAGGCACAAACAATAGTGCCTGCACCTTACCAATGAGTGTCCCTGCTGCAGACTAACCACTTTAAATCCAAATATGAAGATGATTGGTTCTGGGATTTTCCATCACTAAGTAAACAAACTTGAGTATTGTTTCTGTTTGTTTGTTTGTATTTGTGAAAGTAG